CCTGCCTCTGGCTTGGGAGCCAGAGGACTGGGCTCTGAGAGGTCCCGGAGGGATTGGGCAATGGTGCATGGAACAGCTGGCCCGCCTCTGATGTGGTCACAGGAAATGCCTGACGCGGCTAGGTGTCTGCCCGCTGTTTTGTCTTTGCCTGGGTCACGCAGGGCACCGCCCGTCCGGGACATGGGTCAGGGAAGGTCTCTGACTCAGAGTGTTTCTGGTCTAATTCAAAAGCAGAGGCTTCTTGGATGTCAGAGTGGAAGAGAGTGTTTTAAAAGCCCACCTCCCCATTCTTCAGAAGGGGAAACTGAGACCCAGAGATATGTATGAGTTAAGTCTCATATATATCAACTGCCTGCTTAGCTAAGTCTCAGGAGTGGCAGCAGCATGTAGTCATGAAGGACACAGAGGCCCTTCTGCTGACCAGCTGTGTGACCTTGGGCAAGTTATGTCAGTTCTTTATGCCTCTGTTTTTCTATCTATTAAATGAGGATAAGAGCAGTCCTCATTTTATAGGGTCGTTTTTATAGATTAAGTAAAATAAAACATGTAAAGTAGTTAGAATAGTGCCTGGCACATGTAAAGTAGAAGAAATATAAATCTCTGTTTTTACTTGGGTGTCTCGCACACAGTTCACACTTAAATTAAACTGTGTCTGAAACAAGATGCTTCATTTTCATGGCAAGTCCTTCTCCAAGCCTTTTCTTCCTCGAGTCTTCCTCATTCCCAGTCAGTGGCACCACCATTCAACCAGGAGCTCAGGCTGGAATCTTCATCGCCTTTTAGTCCAGTCTGCTTCATCCTCATACCCTCTAGTCAGCAAATCCTTTTGATTCTGTCATCAAGCTTCAGCCAGAACCCCAGTGTAATTCCCATAAAAATTCCAGGAAGGAGGTTGTGTGTGTGGAAACGATTGTAAAATTTACATGGAAACACAAAAAGAGACCATTTTGAAGAAGGACCAAGCTGGAGGACTTACATTTCCGATGCCAGGCTTACTGTAAACCTGCGGTGATTAAGATGTGGTGTTGGTGTAAAAAGAGGCAAATAGCTTAATAGAATAGAATAGCAAGTCCGGAAGTAGACCCCCATGTAAGTGGCCATTTGAATTTCAACAAAAGCTCCAGTATAGTTCAATAAATGATGCTGGGTTAGTTTGATATCTGTTGAAAAAAAAAAAAAAGAGTCTTGACTCTTACTCTACAAAATACACAAACATCAACTTTAGATTGATTAAGATTTAAGTATGTAAGGTAAAACAATAAAGCTTCTGTAAGAAGGCATGGGCGACTACCATCATGATCTGGGGTAAGCAAAGATATGTTAAATTGGACAAAAAGTATAATTATAAAGGAAAACTAGATTCATCAGACTGCATTAAAATTAAGAACTGTTCATTAAAAGAGACACCATGAGGAGGTGAAATGGTGAGCTGCAGACTAGAAGATCTTTGTAATCCACGTTACTGACAAAAGAATCATATCCAGAATATATAAAGAAGTCCTTTAAGCCAAATTTGGCCTTCCGTCTATTTTTAGAAATAAGGTTTTATTGGCACACAGCCACACCCATTTTTGTTTTGGATTGTTTATGCCGAAAGAGTGGAGTTGAGTAGTTGAGACAGAGATGATAGGCCCACAAAACCGAAAATGTTTACTATCTGGCCCATTTCAGAAGAGATTTGCTGATTCCTGCTATAAATCATTAAGAAAAAGTAGACAGCTCAACAGAAAAATGGTCAAGGGACAGTCATTTCACAGAAGACACCAGGATGGCCAAAATGGAAATTAATACCAGTTGTGGAGGATGTGGAGCAACTGGAATGTTCCTCCTCTACTGGAGGTGGAAGACTTGGTACGACTGTTTTGGAAAACAGCTTGGCAGTATCTAGTAAAGCCCGCTGTGTGCATTCCTTATAACTCAGCAGTTCTACCGTATAACTCTTAGGTAGGTGACCCAAAGAGGTGTGCACATATGTTCTTCATAAGACACGTGCAAGCACATTGACAGCAGCACCAAACAGGAGGCAATCCAGATGCCCATCTCCATCACCTTTGTGATCCCCCGTATGTGAAGTTCAAAACAGGCAAAGCAAACCCACAGCGTTGTGTCAGGACTGTGGTTTCCCTTGCAGGGGGTAGTGACCGGAAACGGGCACGATCGGGGGGCTTTTGTGGTCTAAAATGTTTATACAAGTGTGTTCACTTTGTAAAGGTTAATTGAGCCATATACTTTGAGCTTTTTTTTTTTCTATATAGATATTATACTTTAAAAGTTTCTGAAAATATGCCTATGTACACACACGTGTGTATAGCTATGTACAGATAAAGGCACACAAACCATCTCCCTCTCTGTGGCTTCCTCTCTGGTTCTTCCTGCTTGCCACTGGCCCCATCGGCAGTCCATTTCCCAAGTCAGTTAGAGGGAGCCCTTTAAAACTTAAATCAGGTCACATTATTCCTCTGGTCAAAGCCTCCGTGGCTCCCATCTCTCACACACACAGTAGAAGCCCATCTTCACCACTGCCCACAGGACCCTGCAGGATCTGGCCCGTGTGGCCGCTCTGACCCCTTTTCCCACACTCCCCCTCGCCCACTCAGCTCCAGACACACCGGCTTCCTTACCGCCCCTTGCAGGATGGCCGGTCATGACGCCTGCGTCCTCTGCCTGGAATGCGCCTCCTCCAATGTCCTTCTGGTTTCCTCCCGCACCTTCCATAGGTCTTCGCTTCACTGAAGCCTTCCCTGACCTCCGCCTCCTCCCGTTAAAGTCACACCCCTCCACTCTCCCTATCCATCTTTTTGCTTTATTATTATTTTTTTTTACAAACCTTAATTGTTTTGTTTTAATTAAAAACATAAACATTGCGTTCTTTAAATATTCTTTTCCTGTGGCGCCAAGGCCTCTTCTTTGAGGATGAGTTCGCTCTTAATGCAAAAGCAACTCACCTTTATCAAATCTTCCTGAAACATTCAACTTAATTTTCAGAAAGTCAACTCTCTTTCCACATTTGTGTGTCCTCAGCTTATATAATAGTTTTCCCAGTTACAGTGACAGGTGCACATCAGGCAAAGAAGTTTGGGAACAAACATAGCTGGTTGTCCGTGAAGATCACCCACCTGGCGGAGCAGAGGGGGCCTATGCAGACCACACAGTGGCCTTCAAGCTATGAGGGCTCATTCTCTGCTTTATTTTAACCACAACATTTAGCCTTTCTGATATGATGTGTGTTTGACTTCCTTAAGTAGCGTCTGTCTCTGTGCCCCAACCCACACTCCCATATTGGAAGACGAGTTCTCAGAGACATTGTTTTATTCACTGCTGCAGCCCCGGTATCCAGAAGAGTGCCTGGCACCCAGTAGGTGTTCCATAAATGCTTGTTGAATGCATGGGCGAGCGACTCCCTTTGGTCTCGACTTAGTATTCTCCCACAGAAAATGCTGGTCACATGTTTGTTGAGTGACTTAATGAGTGAGTGATAGAATTCACCTGAGTGAATGAATGAATTGTGGGTCAGTGGATGTGGATGGATGGTTGGGTGGATGAATGGACTGCCTATTCCGAGCTCCCTTTTACTCTGGTCGTATTTCAGGAAGTATCTGTTTGTTAGACACCTTGAGAGCCTCTCCCTGTTTTCTAGCCAAAAAGAATAGGTTTCTGTTGCTTCTTGTTAGTTTCTTGTTGATGTCTCCTGTTAGCTGAAAAGGAGTTCTGTGAGGCCAGCAAGGCTGCTAGCCCGTTTTCCAAGTGCAGAAATGGTGGCTGGGGGTAGAGAAGTCACCCACTCGCCAGCCAAAAACCCATGCTCCTGACCCTGGAGCAGCGCTTCGTCTGTCCCTTCTGTGTTACTGCCCTTCCTCCCTTTGCCCTGTTGCAGACAGCTGCGGCCCCATGAGGTGAGGCACAGGGAATGACTTACGACTGTCTTGCAGGGTCACCGGGGGGAAGAAATCCACCAAGAGGACCAAATCCATCAATGGCTCCCTCTACATCTTCAGGGGTCGAATCAACACTGAAGTCATGGAGGTGGAGAACGTGGAAGATGGGACAGGTAGGCATCCCCCCCCAGACCCACCTGAGCCCACCCACCCGCTCCATGGCACAGTCGCTGTTTTAGTTAAATGACGTGTTTTTTTTCTTTCATTTGAAATGTAACCCACCTACAGAAAAACGCCTAAAACTTAACACGCATATAATGAGCACCCAAGTAGTCACCATTCAAGTTAACAGGCAGAACAGCCCGTACCCCAGAAGCCCCTCACACACCCTTCCCTGGTCACAGTGCCTCCTTCCTCTCAGATGTGACCACCTTCCGAATTTTGTGATGATCTTTCTCTTGCTTTTTAAAAATATTTTTACTTCCTAAGTATGCATTACTCAATATTATAGTCAAAATTTCTTTGTTTTAAAACCTTATTATATGGTTTTACTTTTATATATGTATTTAAATGACTTTAAGTATATGTGCAATTTTATGTGTATTTCAAATGGTTATAAAATACAGTATACTCTTCTGCATCTTGCTTCTTTCACTTAACCCCATGTTGGTGAGATTCGTCCATGGTTGCACGTAGCTCTCTCTAGCTCATTGGTTCCCATTGCTCTATAATACTCCATTGCGTGAATAGTCCACATTCATCTCTTTCTTTGCTGATGGACGTTTGGGTTGTCTCTGCTGTTCACTATCGTGAGCGGCGATGTGGTGAGCATTGTGTAAACCTCTTGGTGTACATGTCCTTGAACTTCTCTGAGGCAGGGCTTTTAAATTGGTTTTGAGCCACAGACCCCTTAGGCCATCTTACAAAACCTGCAGCCCCCTCCTCAGGGTGTAGGCAGGATCCTGAATCCACTTCGCTGGGTAACGCCAGCCTCTTTTCAAAGAGATTTACTAATCTCTGCAGCCAGGAGCGTGTGAGGGCCCATGACTTGGCGTTGTTGGGCTCGCAGTAGGGCTTT